ACATATAGAGAGAATATATGTGTATTGTTGTAACACCGCGAATTTTATTCACTACTTTCACATTGGCCTAAAATTTATGTTGGTCACTTAGCAAGTGGAATAATCCATGTCTAACATTATCGTCATACTAAAGTTCAAAGGTTAATATGATAAGTTTAACTCACCTATTTGCATAATGATTTATTGTCTTATGCATATTTTTATTGAATTTACTGTAACTTTTATTTGGGGTCAAATATCTAAGTATTTTAGAAGTTGAGATAAGATATATCGATATTATACTCATTTTATAGCCCATTAAAATAACATAAATTGAGTTCAAGTAGAAATAATTTTGGGCTTGTTATATCCGAATTTACTGTGATAGAATGAAAATTTTGTTATTATAATATTTTATGTATAAAGGGCAACAATTGCTACGTTGATTTATGGGAAATTGAAAAGGTACAATACATTATAATTAATTAAACATAATTATCATTTTAATTTTAACAATAATTAAATTAATTAACTTTATAAATGATTAGTTAATGTGAAATGTGTTTGCTTTCAAAGATTAAATGTGAAATTTTTACTTAGATTGTTGGTTTATCATTATCGACATATCGATCAAATTTCAAATTTTGAAAAAAAAAATAAAAAAATTCACTTAAATTAGAAAAAGTAAATTTTCGGTAACACTTGAAATCTATTTGTTTTAAAAAAATATGAAATAGATTTCAGGGCGTTACAATTATTTTGTACCTTGATTTTTGATGTATAGAGTTAGTTCACTTTGACTCCTTCTGAATCATTGCTCACTGAAGTAGTTGTCTATTATGTTGTACCACGCTCGTGAAGTTTGCTTTAATCTGTATAGCGTCTTCTTTAGTTTGTGAACTTTATCTTCTCTACCTTGTACCACGTACTCTTGAGGTTGCTCAACATAAATTTCTTTAAGATAGTCATTAAGAAATGTTGATTTGACGTCTAGCTGGTAAATCTTTCACTTCTTTCGTGCGGCTAGTGCAATCAGCGCCCTAATAATGTCAAGACGTGCAATTGGAGCAAATGTCTCAGTATAGTCAATGTCAAACTGCTGTGAGTATCCTTTGGCGACTAATCTTGCTTCATGTTTTTGGGTTAAGCCATCAGCTTTAAGTTTTGTCTTGTAGGCCCACTTAATTCATATGACTTTTTTGTCTTGAGGAATACCTACAAGCTCCCAAGTGTCTTGATCATTTTTATTTCTTCGCCCATTGTTTTTCTCCATTCTGGTTGTTTTGAAGTTACTTCATAGCTTTCAGGTTCAACGATCATCAAATTGTAGCTTTGGTATATTTCTGATAATCTTCGTGTTTTTCTTGACGATGATTCTGGTGAGTTAACTTGTTCTTTAATCATTGCTTATTGTGGGAATTCTAGTTGATTGTTCTCCTCAACGTCACCCTCTTGTTTTTGTGGTTGTGTTAGGATATTGATAGTTTTTCTTTCTGCTTGACTAGTCTTCCAGTTGTAGGCGGTATTTTCATCAAGCTTAACATCTTTACTTATAATTAGCTTTTTTGTTCTCAATTTATAGACTAGATATCCTTTAAATTGAGTGCTATAACCTAGTAAGATTCCTTGTTCTGTCTTCTCATCGAGCTTACCTCTTTTCTCTTATGGAATGTGTGTATAGTAGATGCAACCAAAAACTCTAAGATACTTC